ACTAAAGTTGTACGTGTGGCTTGTTGTACACTCATCATGTAACTATAAACCTTAGGAAACTGTTCATGTGATAGTTCTGTAATAACAAACTAATAAAATCTAATCGGCCAAGGAAGTGGCCTTAATAACAAAAAAAAAAAAAAAAATAGTATTTACTCTTTAATTTTCTAGGCAAATTTGCCTGGAATATAGTTTAAGGGATAGATAATAACTAGAGTACAGGTTAGATAAGTTTAAATAGAGCCCATATTTAGGTCTACAAAATATTTATAAATCCAAGCCTAGTCTAAGAAAAAAAAAGTCCAAAAAATATGCTGAGTTAGGTTTTAATTTAAAATTAGTCCTGGCTCAAGACTAGCTCAAACAAACTTTAAATTTTAAACTACATAATTAACTACTATAATAATATATAATAATTTTGTTGATTATTCTTATATTTGTTTGTATTCAGAAGATATTTATTATTAATTAGCTAATTGTATACTCATGATTAGCTATCTTTCTTTTTTAATTAAAAAAATAATAATCTTTATGAATAATTTTATATATATTGGCTATATTATATATATTATATATTATTATACAGTTCCTAATTGTTTGTCTATAACTTTTTTTATTGATATTTTTCTAACTTATATTCTCATAGTCAATATTCCTATAGTTGATATTTTCCCAGTTGATATTTTTATAACTAATATTTTCATGATTAGAGTTTTCATAATCAATTTTTTTACAATTTTTATGTGTTAACTCAGAAACTTATATAAGATTAAAATGTTTTTTAAAATTCTCATACGCAAACCCAAATCTCAAATAAAATAAAACTTTTTTAAAAAATTCTTATATACTGGTTTGAGATACAAATTCAATAATATGCAAATTTTTATTTATTAATTATTACAGCAATATATTACATGAATAAAAATATGATAAATGTATTACTTTTGAATATTAAAAGTAATATTTGAAAAAGTACAATTATTAAATACAGGTACTCTAGAAATATCTATATTATTTAAGTCTGTAGTAATTTCTTGAAAAGGAATCTGAGATTCCAAATTATTATTAGATGAACTTTTAGTAAGATTTATTAATATATTTAATGTATGAAGTTACTAATCCTTATTAACTTGCTTATATTTATGAATTTTTTGAACACTTTTATAATCTGTATATTCTATAATTATTTGTTTAGGAATATCATTGTCTTGTAAATACTAAACAGCAGTTTTATATCTAGAATAGTTAGAAAGTAATTCAACTAAAACATCAATATTTGTAATATGCCTAATTTCTTGCATGAATCTTGCTAATTTATTTTTGTCTACATATTTTTTTTTATACCAAACATTTGTTTCTGACCAGTTTAATTTAGGTTGTAAATAAAATTTTAAATCATTAGTTTTAGACTGCTTTGACAAGTAAAAATGAATATTATTACATAATCTAGTATTATCATGAGAAATTAAAATTATATGTGCTTGACCTTTTTGAAGTCTCTGCTGATTATTCATTAAGATATAATGAAAAAACTGTAAACCACCATTTCTATTAGATTTGAATTGATTGATTTTAGGTTTATAATACTCTCTTTCATATATTGCAAGAATTATTAATAGACAAAAAAAGATATGATATAAGAGATTTATAGAATTATTGCAGCTTATAATTAGATTATTCAATATTATTTGAACTTGAGAAAAATTAAGAGCAACTGAACCTGAAACTTCACCAAATTCACATTCTTGAAGATCATGTATCTTACTATGCAAAACATCATGCAAATAAAGAAACATATACTGATTATATAAATTGATATATAAAATATACAAATTATAAAAAAAGTAGTAACTAAGTGCATCAACAGCTAGCTTTACAGAATTTGCCTTATTTTTTTTCTATCTTTCTTTTTCATTATAGAAATAAATTCAACAATTTGTTCTTCTAGCTGTTTAATATTATTAATAGTAGTTAATAAGATTAAATATCTTGAGTTAATGTGAAATTTCTTAAATCTCTTAATCCAATTCTTAGTTACTAATTCAATATTCTTATTTTTTACCTTTTTTTGATAATATGTAGCTTTAGTTTTCATTTTATTGTTATTAGATATTGTAGGTATAAATATAAATATAGCAAAATACTCTAGAAATCAAGTTTCTTCCAATACTAATCTTGCATTTTTAAAACTTAGATTTAAAATATTCATAATATTAAATTTAGGAAGTTTCTTTATTTTCTGATTATTCATCTTTTTTTTTAAAAAAAAGCAAAAATAAATATGTGAAAAAGGATGTAATAATCACTATGAGAATATAAATTGTAAAATGTTGATAAAAGAAAGTTATGAGTATTAGAATTTGTACAATAAATTAGTTATTATATATATTTGTTATTAGTATTATAAAGCATCATAAGTTTGTCAATAATATCATGCATGATTGCAGCTATGCTGCAATCATACATAATATCATTGACAAATCTATAATACTTCATAATATTGATAATAAAATATAAAATAACTATTACATATTACATATATTAATTTAAAAATATTCACTATGTATTTTTTTTAATTTTTTTTATTTTATTTTTTTTTTCTTTTCAGCAAGCCATACCTTAATATTTATTCAATATAAATAAAAAACTACAAAGATTTATAAGCCTAATTTAACAACTAAAGAAGACTCTGTATATAAAATACTAAATGTCTATATTAAGACTTGACTGATTATTCCAAAAATATCTATTCATAACCTGCTATAAAGTAGATTTAATTCAACTTTAGAGACTAGATATTCTATCCTTTACTTGCTAGTATCACTATATGAATCTATCTAGATCATTATAACTTTTTGTCTATATAGATAAATATTACTAAACTAATAATATTTTTTTGTATAATGAAAAGGAAAAATAAAAATACTATATATAAGGAACAGTATTATCCTACAGTATATACTATATATATAAGATGATAAAATATAGAAAAAAACAAAAACAAGAAACAAAAACAAAGAAAAAAAGAAAATAAATATTGCTCAAGCTACTATCTTCATAGAGCTTGAGTTTTTTGTAAAAATTATATAAAATACTAATACTACAAAGTATTTTATATCTCTAAATTCATAACTTCTAATACTAGGAGGTATCTAAATTTGCTATTTAACTATGCTTACCTTATCATGTATATTATTATTTACTATTAGATTGTTTGTAAACATGTAATTATTTACTAATTTGAATATAGTATTATTGATTTTTTTTTGAGAGTAGACTAAATTCTCACAAATAACAAAAAATAAAAATCCAAAAGATTGAGAGAAGTGAGTGCAAAAAACCAAGTAGGAGTGAGTGAGTATGAAAGTATTTGTTACAGTACAAATACTGTAATATATTTTTTCTTTTATCTTTAAACTTCAAACTTTGTCAAACTTCTCCTTTTTAACTTTAAAACTTCACAAACTAAACTTTTGGCTAAAATATTAAAACTATCATTTACTTCAGCTTTCTCCTTTTATTACTTTAAAAGTCTTATAGGACTATACATCCTGTACTTCTTTAGAACTAATATTTTACTAGGTTTCTTTAAGTTTAGTATAGTACTTGTTTTGTAAAAAAGTTTTTGCTTTAGTGTTAGTTTTAGTAATCAGCAAAAAGAGGCGATATTAGTTTTTGTTAATTTGTTTATTATCAAATTTAATATAGTAGATAGTTAATTTGATTAGTTTATAAAATCTATATTATACAATATAAAAAATTTTTTTAAAGTAAGCCTTACTATAAAAAGTTATATTGTTAATTAGCAACTTATGATTTCATATAGTGAAATTTAAAAAAAAACTTTCTTTATATTCTTTAACTTTTAATATATCTTTTATTAAAAAAGATTATTAAAGATTAGTATCACTAAAAACTTTGCTTAAAAAAAAATAATTTTACTATTTATTCTTATATTTATGATAAATAAATTTTAACTATCAAAAACTTAGTCAATAAAAAAAATTTGAATTATATATAAGGTTTGAATTTGAAAATTTTGTACATATTATTTTAATATGTTATTTTAATGAAAAAGTTTATACTAATATTTATATCTTATATATTGCTTAATATTAGAGTTAAACAATTAGATAAATTAAAAGATATCTAATATAATTTTATTTTGATTAAATAATCTAATAATATATAAGTAATAATTAGGATTATATAAACTAAAAGTTATAATTTGTTTTATATAAACTATAATAGTTCAAAATAAAATCAAATTATTGCTTAAATTATAATAAGTAAAAACTAAAACTTCATTATATTAGCTATTTGTATATTAGATTTTGTAATTAATTTGATTAGTTAGTAATCATATTTATTGTTTATATTTATTAACTAATTAAATTGAATATTCACTATATTATCAAATTCAAGTTATAATTAAATTTTTACTATTATTATATAAATAGGTTTTTTAATTTAAATGATATTATACTCAAAATATAAATTTATCTTAATTATAAATTAGGATAGTTCAGATAACTATTTGCTAAATTTATCTAAATACTTATCTAAAATTAATTTATTTATATTAATAATTTAAGCTAATTGATATCTGAGATAAATTTATATTTTGAGTATAACAAATAATCTACTTTTAGTTAAAATGATTTAGAGTTAATCTGATATGTAGTATTAGCTTTATTAACAAAACTTAAAGTGCTTATAATATAATCTGCATAATAATAATATCTATATATAGGATAGAGTTAGATATTATATAAATTACAATTTATATTATTAATTAGATAACTACATAATATATTGTATTAAAAAAACAGAATAGATAAATTTATCTATCTATAAAGTAAATTTGTATTATATAGTTATACAAAAACAAGAACATTAGTATTAAATATATTATTTATATAAATTTTAAATTTAAGAACTAGTATCAACTAACTTTATTAAAAGTAAGTACAAATATTTATTACTATCTATTTTCTATCTATTTATATCTTCTATATAATTAAAATACAAACATAATTTTGCTGAAATTATTATACTATGATTAAGTATAAAAAATTCAGTTATAACTTTTGAAGCTTGTATTTTTTTGTTAAACTAAATAATATACAAGATATTATATATTACTACTACAAATAAATAAAAATCAATATTAAGAAGAAGCAAATTTAGCTATTAGATCTTTTATAACTAAAATATAATATAATACTAAGATATAAAGCAACTCAAAAAAGATATTAAAGATTTGATCTAAGAATTAAGAATCTTATTAATACTAAGATTTTGGCTTTAAAAGATAAATATAAAGATAATTTATTAATATTAATTAGTCAAATTAAATTTATAAACAAAAATACTTATTTATAAATACTTATACCTAAATATTTATTTATAATTAATTAATAACTTAATACTTTTTAAATTATTTTATTTGTATTAATTTAGTTAATAATTATAAAGATAGTTTATTAATATTAATCAGTGAAATTAAAATTATGAACATAAATACTTATTTATAAATACTTATCTCTAAATACTTATTTACAATTAATTATCTAATACTTTATTAGTAGAATTAAAATCATAAATATAAATACTTATTTATAAATACTTATTTCAAAATACTTATTTACAAATAATTAATTATCTAATACTTTTCAATTCATATTCTTTAGTTATTAAGTATAAAGATAATTTATTAATGTTAATTAGTAGAATTAAAATTATAAATTTAAATACTTATTTATAAATACTTATTTATTTATTTTTTCTACTTGAATGATCTTATCTTTTTCTTTATTTATAGATATTTTATTAAAAGATAACATATAGTATACTATTACATCTTAACATAACTATATACTGCTCTATAGATTTAGTTTAAACTAACTCAGCTATATTAAGTATGCCCAAGTTCAATCTGCTGCAGAAGCTATTTATTTTTTAAAAGTAGTTTACTGTACAAACAGTATATTCTAATTTTTGATTAATAATTAGTAACTTCTAGTTACTATTAAGATTCTAGATCTTTTTTAATTTAATCTAAAACTAAACTAAAAGTTGTTAATATCTAGTCTCAAGATAGAAAAAAATAAAAATTATTACTGATAATAAAAAGTATAGAGCTATATACTATAAGAATATAAGCATAGTATAGAAAAACTTGCTAATAAATAAAAAACTATACTAGCTATAAGTAGAAAGAGAAAAATAAAACAAAACAAAATAAAAGAAACAAAAAAGAAAAAAGAGAAATTTTTTTTGATATAAAAAGAAAAAAGAAAAAGAAAAACCCAGAATAGTTTTACTTAAAGGCAAGCCTAAAAGTAAGTACTACTTTTAAAAATATATATACTAGTTGCTATCTATATATATATCTTTATAATTAATAATTTCTAATATGTCTACTTCATATTAATCTAACAAAGCAAGGCCTTTACAAGTTTTGTATAGTATCTAGCTAATAGAAGTTAATATACAAAATATGTACTATACATGTTTGCAAGTTATTATTATTTAGTAGTATTTAACATGATTTTTCTTAAATAGATATAATACAAATATTGATCTTTTGGCAGAAGTAAGCCAAATTCTTACTTTTTGTTATTGAGAAATAAAGAAAAACAATTCTAAGTTCAAAAGTTTAGTTGTTAAGAATATAGTAAATAATTCTTTAAAAAAACAAAACCAAGAAAGTGATGATATGCTTGACCTAGCATAAGCATAGTTAGAGTTCTTTTTTACTTCTTTTTTTTACTTTTAATACCTTTTTACTAAGCTAAAAGTCCAATACAATCTTAAAACTAACTTGTTGTAGTTCTTACTTCTGACTTATCATAGTCTTGTAGTTTATTCTTCATATCATTAGATATTTTAAGTTGCTTTTCTAGATAGTAGTACAAAAAAAATAACTTTTTTGTTGTTATATTAATTTTAGTTTTGATAATCATCAGAAAGAGTTATCTGATTTTTTTTTTTTTGTATAAATACTTATTATAAATACTTATTTACAATTAATTGCTTAATATCTTTAAATAATGAGTGAGTATAAAGATAATTTATTAATATTAATCAGTAAAATTAAAATTATAAATATAAATACTTATTTATAAATACTTAACTCTAAGTATTGTTTTAGAAATTAGAACTAGAAAGCATTTAAAAGCTTGTTAAAAAGCTACTATAAGCAATAAGAAAGGAGTACAAAAGCAAATCATTTCTGTATATTCAAAGTTAAATATATTAAAACCTTATTTTTTATAGTCAGAGCACTAAACATTAGAAAACCTGATATGTATAAGCATAATATATGCAAAAAGTGTTTCAGAGAATCAGAATCAAATAAGCATATTATTTGCTATAAAAAAGTACAGAAAGTATTAACAATAATAATTAAAGAAATTTAGAAAAAAATGCATATTAATAAGAAAAAAGAAGAAAGTTAATATCTCTATAAGATAAAGCAGATTATTACAAAAATAACTAAAGATAAAAAACAAGTTTAAAATATTAAATAGTTACAAAAGATTCTAAATAAAAGTAATACTAAAAAAATAAAAGAAGTAATTAGTATAGAAAAGTCTACTACAAAGTTTTAGTATATGTTTTAGAATTTCTAAATTAAATACATATATATAGATATTTTGACCAAAAGATGTATAAAGATGAATAACTAGAAAAAAGGTTAAAAAATATTACTAAAAGATAAGAAAGCTAGCACAAAGTCAAAAAAAAAATAAAAAAAAGAAGAAAAGTGAAGAAAACAATTAAATTAAACCAAATTATAATAGATAAAGAAAGAGTAGATAAGAATAGTAAAATATTTAGTTTAGATTTTAAATTAGCAAAGAATAGTCTGTTAGAAGAAATTTTAAAAGATTCAAAAAATTTATAATTATAATTAGCAAATAATAATAAGCTGTAACATTCTTCCTTTGAAGTATTTTCAGTTACTTATATAATGAGTTTAAAAGTAAAGAGGTCAAAGATAACTATAGCAAATTATATTTAAATACTAGAGTAGTAACTGAGTAAGTTAGTATTTAAAAATAGTCACTAGATAGTAATATATACTAGATAAAGATATTTTAGTTATAGATTAAAATTTTTGATTAAATAAAATATTATATGATTACTAAAACAAAAATACTTAACACTAAATACTTATTTATAATTAATTAATTACTTAATATATTTTAAATTATTTTATTCAAATTAATTTAGTCTATAAGTATAAAGATGATTTATTAATATTAATTAGTTTTATTAAAATTATAAACATATATTTATAACTAAATACTTATTTACAATTAATTATTTAATATTATTCAAATTATTTTAGTTAGTGAGTATAAAAATAACTTATTAATATTAATTTTTTTATTAAAATTATAAATATAAATACTTATTTATATTTACTTATCTCTAAATACTTATTTATAATTAATTGTCTAATACTCTTCAAATAGTATACAAATATTAAGATAGTTAATTAGTATAATTAAAATCATAAATATAAATACTTATTTATAAATATTTATCACTAAATACTTAGTTATCTAATACCTTTCAAATAGTAAATATATAATAACTAATAAGTAATTAATATTATATTTCTTTTTAGATATAAATATTGTGTTTTGCTAATAATAACTATTATTGAAGATAGCAAATAAGTTATTAGCTAAGGTTTAGCCTTTGTGCTAAAGTGTCTAGTAGTATAAGTAAAAGAGTTATTTGCTAGTAGCTAAAATTAGTTTGAGATAATTCTTGTAAAAGAATTATCTAAAATTACTATCTTTAGAGTTATAAACTATTTAGATTTGTAGCCTTTGACAAGTAATTTAGTCTTGAAGAAATATGAATATAGTCTAAAAAAATATAGTTATTAGCAGAAGTTAATTATTTAAGAAATAAGATTTGTTTAGTTTATAGTTAGTATTTGAAGGAGTTATAAAGATTATTGTTTTGAAAAATTTTTTCTAAAGGTATATATAGATCTAAGATAGTAGTTAGTTACCTGTTATTAGTATTTGTTAGGAAAGAAATATTCAAATAATTAAAAAATAAAATAATTTCAAAATTTGTTGAGTTTTTGTTAAGACTATTAATTTGAGGTTGTGAATAATGTAAAATATTAGTTGTAGACTACAAATTATTTTGGAGTTGTTGTAATCTAATCTGAGTAGTAATACTTAAGAGCTCTGTATTACTAAGTCTAATTAAAAAGTTAGAGATATAGTATTGAAGATGAATATTCTAAATATTTTTAATATTATAAATATTGTAATTGAGTAAGGTGCTATTAGAAATTGTAGAAATTAAGTTGGTTTTATGTTTAGTAATAGTAAGATATGAGTTAAGAATTTTGTTATATATTATTTAAGTAAGAATAATATTGTATATATGATAGTCAATTACAGTATTGATAATATAGCTAACTTGTTTGTTAGTTATATATTTTTTTTTAAGTATATTAATTATATTAAATATTTCATTAATGATAAGTTTAGTTTGTTTAGCATCCAAAGTAAACTAGTATTCAAAAATTTAAATAGTATATTAGATTGTTGTAATTGTAGAAAAGAGTTAATAAAGTTTAGTTGTGATAGTTTTTTAGTATTTATAATAAGAACTGATTTGTGAGGATTAATTTAGATATTAGTTATCTGATAGAAAGATATTGCTGTTTATATTATTAATTCTAGGCTTGACTTAGAATTAGTAATCCAAAGTGTATTATCTATATAGGCTAATACTGAAGATTATATAGTGAGCTTATTGTATTTGTTAGTAAGAATAGAATCTTTACAGATTACAGACATAGTATAGTCTTAGTATAAAGTAGAGATCTTGTTGATGAGAGAATTATAGTAAATATACTATAACAAGGGAGTAATTGTTTCTTCTTAGTTAATACTATTATTGATATCATAAAGTTTAGTAAATTCTAAATTTGTAATTACTGTATTTATATAATTAGTTAAGAGATTGGTTATGATATTACATAGTTGAAAAAGAATTTGAATTTATTTTAAGGCAAGTTTGAGAAGATCAAGGTTAACTAAGTTATAAGCTTTAATCATATTCTGAGATAGGAGCTATAGCTCTTTTTTGTTACAGTATAAGTCTTTATTTATATTGTTTCATATATGAATAAGAATATTTGTATTGTCAGTAACACTAACCTGACTTGGCGGCTAACTGAATTGAGAGGATCTGTCTCGTAAAATATCTGAGAAAATAGATACAGAAAACTAGTAGAGAGCTATAGTAGGAACTGGAGTTGTATAAACATCTACAAGGGTCTAAGCTAGGTGAATCTGTAAAATGAGCATGAACTGCTCTAGTAGGATTGCTTATGAGGTTAACTAGAGCTCTGCATACTACAATATGTTGAGCAATATATATTCTGAGAGGATCTAAGCTAAGTTAGGTAAATAGATCTTTAATGAGCTAGCTAGCTTAAGCAGTAAGGTATTACAGTGACGTTAGTTAATTCTAGTATTAGTTAGGTAAACAGAGTGTTTGAATAGGTAACTCATAAGCAAGTTACAGATATAGTAGCTTGTGTAGAACCAAACAGGTGATCTACCTGTATAGCGGACTACTTAAATTAGACAATAACTAAAGTTGTATGTGTAGCAGGTTGTACACTCTTCATGTAATTACAAACTGTAGAGGATTGTCAATAGACGACCTCATATATTAAACTAATAAAATCTGCTTGGCAAAGTAAGCCACCTTTAATAATAAAAAAAAAAAAGAATACAAAGTCTTAGTTAATAGGCAAGAAGTATATGTAACTAAAGAAAAAGGAGTAGTAAGATTACTAGAGATTTGAATAGATCAAAAGTTGAAAAAAACAGATAGTAGCTAAAACAAAACAAATAGCTAGACTCTTCACCAATACAATTAAGAAGAAGATAGTTTCAACAAGCTAAGTACTGTATATAAACAATGTATACTTAATGCCAAAGCTAGAGTATATACTACAAAACATATTTTTAACTAAAGATAAATGTAAAAAAATCTAGCAACTATATACAATGACTGCTAAAAATAAAATAGGTCTAGCAAGAACTATTCTAAACTTTGTAATATCATATAGTAGGATTCTAAGTATATAAATACTATAGAATACTCTAAAGACTAAACAAATGCTAAGTCTTATTAATAGGCTAAATAAGAACTATGAAGTTAAAGATATTACAGAGATAAGAATAAAACAAGGACAACAAATTACTTGCTACATAAACAGTATTTAGACCAAAAGGCTAGATAAAATAGAAATAAAACTACTTAAAAACAATCTAGTAAGTTCAGTTATCCAAAACAACCTAGGCTTAGATATAGAAATAATAGCTAACAAAAAACATTGAATTGCTAAAGTAAACAGTACATCAATTAAAAATTTAATGAAAAAAAAAACCTTTATTAAAATAGCAAAAATGCTCTATGATCTGAATATAGTATTGCTAAAGCAAATCTTAGATCTAGAAGGTTCATATTTAATGATATGGTAACAGCTTAAAATATCTAGAAAAAAGTTAAAAAAAAGCAAAAAAGCAATATAATTCTAAGAAGTAGAAGAAAATATATTAATTAGTAAAGAAAAAAGAGAAGTTAAAGAAGAATACAAGATAGGTATAAGAAATTGTCTAGATGTGCAGAACCTATTAGAAGAAATCTTAGCTGATAAAAGAAAATATAAGTAGATTGTATACAAAGATAGTTAAAATAAAAACAGAAGAATAGAATATATACAAAAAAAAAGAAGATAGTATGCTAGTAGAGTATTGAAAAAATTAAAAAAATATAAAAAGATATGAAAAGATAAGAAAATATATAGGCTGCTTAATCAATAAAGAAAAAGTACATGAGAAGTATAAAGCTTAGTAACTGAAAAAGAAAGTCCTACAGGTAATTCTAAAAAACTACATAAACAAAGAAGCAAATCTAATAGACTTCCTACTAGGAACAATAGTTGCAAACTAAGAAGAGTATTAAGAAACCAAAGAAAACAAGCTAGTTTTTGCTAGTCTAAGAATAGTAAAAGAACATAAGCTAGAGATAATAGAAGTACAGAATCTAGACAAAGAACTAGTAGCAATATTAAAAAGAAAAATGTAAGAAATAAGAATAAGGAAAAGAAAAGAAATAGAATTTTATATAGACAGGTCTTTAGATAAAGGTGAAGAGAAGGGGATTATAAGAGTAGGATAGTTAGAAATAGATAGAATAGATAGTAGCATAGTTAGTATCTCTTAATTTGTAATACAAGCAAATTTGCCTGTGTTCATTTTTAATTTTTGTAATTTTTAAATAAAACTTTAAATATTAATTTTAAATATATACTTTATAAGTAAAAAATATTTTTTAATATTTATTAAAACAACTTTGTTAAGAATGTTTTTTTAAAGTTTTGTTTTGAAAATTTTTACTATAAAATTATTAGTCAAATTTTTTCAGATTTTATATGTAAATGAGACTAAAAATAATTTTTACTTCTAATATAAATATAAATTTTTACAAGTAAATTTTTTTTTTTTTATATCTCTTGTTGCTTTTGCAACTCAAGGTGCAGGTGGTACTCTTTTATTAAAGTATTATAAATAAACTATATATATTTTAAATATTTACATAAAGATTTAGTAGTTTTAGACTTGCTATAAGACAAGCTGAATTTTAAAGATTGTATTTCCTTAAAAATACGATTTTTAATTAAAGGACTAATAGAATTTAGCAGAGTATCTGAGTTTCCCTATTTAAGTGAAGTGTAATGACACCAGATTTCATAGATAGTATTGATATGTAACCAGGATATAGCTACTAAGATTTGAGAATTATTATAACTTGTAGGCTCAAAAATTTCTTTCATTGTAGTAGGTAGAGTTTTTTTCTTATTAATATTAAGAAACTTGTATGCTTCTTCTCAGATAATTTTGCTTCTAGAGCATTCAAAAGCAAAATATTCAATAGTTTGTAGTTCGTTAGGGTACCAAAGGCAGTTCTCTGTTTCTGTTAGTTCTATATATCTAAGGCGATAGCCTAAAGGAAGAGCTCTATGAAAGAGATGCCAGAAAATATCTTTTTTCTTATTATATACTGACTTAAGAGTTAACCAGGTAGCTTGAGTAATTTGAGGAGAAGTTTGAGGTAAGATATGTAGAGATGTTGAGTTTTTAAGAAGCTCTAATGATTTTTTAACTAAGAGCTCATTTCTTTTAATATCTCCTGCAGAGATTTCCTCTTTATTCTAAGGCCAGTTAGAGGTAGAGGAGATTTTCTCTTTTATTTGTGTCTAGGCTATCAAATAAAGTTTTCATTCTGTAGATCAAGCTTTAGTACGTATATTATTAGAGCTTAAAGCTTGTAGAGGAGAAATATTTCTTTTAGCTCTGAGAATTGATCTAATTTTGTCTCTTTTATAAATTGCTCATATAGAGTTCGAAGTAATAAGCTTAATCCAAACAGAAATTAGATGAGTATCTAATATATCTTTAATAACAGGAGCTTGAAGTTCTGTGAGTTCTATAGATTGTTGAAAAGTAGAGTATCTAAGAAGCATATGTAAAGTACCTTTAATCCACAGAGAAATGATTCTATTGATATCTGCAGCTTGCTTTTTGTTAGAAGGTAGAAGATATGCAGAATATCAGATCTTAGATAGAATAAGTGATTTAGCTATCAAAATTTTTTTTTTGAAAGAAAGATTTCTGTTTGTTAATTTGTCAAGAGATTCTTTTAGCTTATTGAGGGTTGTTGACCATAAGTTTTTTTTAGGTTGCCCATTTGTAAGAATATTGTATCCTAGGATAGTAATAGTATCTTGTTCTTCTAGTTTAACAAATTGTTCTTCATTAGAAAGTTTGACTCTTTGGGCAGTAGGAGTTAGAGGAACTAGCTTTGTTTTAGTCTTATTAATTTTAGCATTAGAGATAGCTTCATATAGGTTTAGGGAGAATTGGACCTTATTCCAATCTGTTAAGGAACTGATTTCTATAGTTAAATCATCTGCATAAGCTGAAGATTTAAAATATTGGTTCCCTAGTTCAATGCCATGTAGACGATTTTCTAGAGTTCTTATAAGAGGTTCAAAGGCTAATATGTATAGCAAAGGTGAAAGAGGATCTCTTTGTCTAACTCTTTTTTTAATTCTAAAAGGTTTAAAAATATCACCTGCTTTATTAATATGAGCTTCTTGGTTAGAGAAGAGGTTTTGAACAAGATTAGTGAACTTGGTATCAAAGTTCATATTCTTTAAGTTAAGTTTTAGAAAATTGTGGTTAACTCGATCAAAAGCTTTTTGTTGATCAATAAAAAGTAACCAGTGTTGTTTAGAAGGATCTGCTTGATTTCTCATTATTGTAATAATGTCTTAAGCAGCATCTGTAATAGATCTATTTTTGATAAATTCTTGTTATTAGTGTGGTATAAGTTCCTTGCAGATAGAATTAAGGCGATTAGCAATAATTTTCATAAAGATCTTAGCATCACTATTGACTAGTGATATGGGCCTCTAATTGTTGATATCTTCTAAGTTTAAAGCTTTTTTTGGTATTAGAGTAATTAGACTTTTGCACTAAGAAAAAGGTATTACACCTAATAATAGAGTATGGTTAAAGACTCTATAGAGAATTGGAGTTATAACTTTTTCTGTGAGTTTGTAAAACTCATAAGTTAAACCATCAGTTCTAGAAGCTTTGTTATTAGAGAGATTCCTAATAATATTACTAATTTCTTCTTGAGAAATTTCACGTATTAGCTTTTGATTATGTGATGAAGAGACTTGAAGCAGATTTTCTGTAATTTCTTTAGCTAAGATCAGACTGAAGTCTTCTTTCTTATAAATTTTAGCATATTTGTTTCTAATATAGTGAAGAGTATTCTCTTTAGTTTGTAACGATGCTTCAGGAACTTTGATATCTTTAAGAGCTGAATGAGCTTTTCTTATTTTGTATCTAGCAAAGAAATATTTTGTAGATATTTTTCCTTGTTTAATCCATTGAGCTTTAGAATGAGTTTGCTATTTTTCTGCAAGATGGGTTAGTTCTTCTTAGAGATCTAAGCCTAGTTTGTCTACTTGAGTATGTAAAAAAGAGTTTTTGGGATTATGTATAAGTCTTTTTCTAATCCAAGTGATATCTTTGTTTAATTTTGTGATCTTGCTTTCAGTAGCTTTTGGTTTTTTGAAAGCTTTTATAATTGATTATATATAAATTTTGCAGAAGTCCCAATTCTCAAGATTTTCTAACTCAGTAATTTCATCGAAGACTTCATTTCTTAGTTTTTCATTTTTGAAACAATCTTTGTTGAATCTTCAGAGAGCAGATTCTTTTCTTTTAGTACTAAAGTTAAGTACATATTCAACTAAGAGATAATCTGAATTACCAAATCTAGTATCAATTTGTGAGATTAGATTTGTATTATTTTTATCAATAAATATATAATCGAGATGAGTAGCTATTGTGTGATTTCCTTGAGTTTTCTAAAAGAAGGTATAGAAAGGCCTAGACTTTGCAAGATCTGATGAGTCTAAAAAATTCTTTATGAGATCTTGTAGTTGAGCTCTTGTTGTATCTCGTTGTGAAGCTACTTCACTAGTTCTATCTATTTCTGGGTATAGGTTAGTGTTGAAGTCTCCTGCAATTATATTAATAGAGTTCTCTTTGAGTTAAAATATTCATTTTTTAAAGAAGAGCTTTCTGTCGTTAAGATTAGAAGGAGCATAGATATTAGAGATTTGAAATATAAGCTCTTTGTATACAAAGCTTGTAAAAATAACTCTATTATCCAAGTCTATTTCTGTGTCTTTAAATAAAATATTTTTGTTGCCTGAAAGAATAGCTATTTTGTTTATCCAAATAGAGTCAAAAATCTATTAGTTTTTAAGAAAGTTTCATGTATTTTGGTTATTTAAATTTGTTTTTTATAATATAATTATGTCTAATTTGTAGGATTTTAAAAGAGTTAGAGTGTTTTGTTGTTTTTGTTGATTGTTTAACTTTTTAACATTAAGGGTTGCAACTTTAAATTTAAGTTGATCAGTCATATTAAAAGTAGAGTAGTACAGAATTAGATCTGTAAGTTTTGTGTTTCAATACGAGTTTTCCTATAAAAAGCAGATCTAATTAGTTCTTCTTTTTGTTCTAAGGTATCTTTTTTGTTTTTTCTTTTTCTTAAAGAAATAGTAGTGAATCCCTTCTCAAGATTATTTGTTTGCGAATATAGCTTATTATTGTTTGTAATAAGTACTATTGGAGTCTTCAAAGAGTTGGTATTTTTAATTTCCATAGTAGTTTCGATTTGAATGTTATCAGTTGTGAAGTTCTCTTTGTTACTGTTGTCAAGAATTTCAACAGATGGAATTTCTATATTTTCTTTTTCTAGAGAAGAACTTTCTGAGTTAATATCTTCTATTGTAGAAGAGTTGTTTTCCGAAGTTTCCTCTATTTGAGAGGTTACAGTTTCTATATCTTTGTCAGAGTTGATAGGTTCTTGTTGGTTTGTTACTTCCTTGTCTAATTCAATATGAGTATTTTTACCCTTTTTTTTGCTAGCAAGGAATTCTTTATACTGTTGACGGAGTAATAGAGCTTCTTTAAATTGAGAACATTCTTTTTTAATATGATCTTTTTTGTCACAAAAATAACAAAGTTTAGGAGCAGAGCGCTATTCAGTAGTAACTTTGTTATCAAAGATAACTTCAAAGCATGGAATTTTTTCTTCGAGATTAGAATCATCAGTAGTCTCGAAAGTAACTATCTATTGGTCTGTTAAATAGAGTATACCTTTAATTAAGAGAGATTTAATTGAAATGATTTTACTTATATTATCAAACACCTCTTTAATTTCTTCTGAGATATCTTCTTTGTTACCTAAAGATACATTTCTGACTTTAACTGAGAGGAAAGACCTTCTCATATCAGTTAGAATATAGCTATAATAAGTCTTATTAAATATCTCAATTCCCTTTGTAGTATAGTATTTAAGTTTTTCTTTTCTAGCAAATATTAGCTTGAGATGAATATATAAACCTCTATTAATATGTGGCTTAGCAGCAATTATATCACGTGCTGCTATTTCATAAAGAGAAATCATGATTTCATTCAAAGAACTATTGAGATTTTGTATATCTAAAATAAGAGCATTATTATTTTTTGACTTGATATTATTTCTTGGAGAGAAGGAAGTAAAGGTTAATTGACTTCGTTTGACTTTTGCAAATAAACTTGACCAAGGTCTTTGCAAAGTTTTGTTAATGTTATTTGTTGAATTTTTTTTAGATTCTAGAGAAGACGAGTACATAAATTTGAACATGTTGTTTTTGTTGTTGTTTGAGTTTTACTATTTTAGTCTTCATTACGTGTCTTAGAGTTAGATATGATACTTGTGTTGTTTTGATTTTGTTTATTTTCTAAATTTTTTGCACTATTTTCTTATGAGACTTGTTTGTCCTAACTAGAAGTATTAACTGAGGAGTTACTTTGTTGTATAGAGCTAGTTGATGGAGTTTGGTTACCTGTTGCTTCTATAATTTTTTTGTTATAATTTGAAACTATTTTATCTCCTAGAAGTTGTTTTTTCAGAGAAAAACTTCTAGTGAGCTTGATTTTTTTATTCTTTAAAACTTCTTAAGAAGAAGTTTTGTGTTTGCTAGGAACTAGGGGAAGAGCCTCTATTTTGTTACTATTTTTAGAATTAGTGTTATCTTGTATGGAGATTATTTTGTCATCTCTAAAAAACTCTCAGTTCTAATTTTGTGATCAGGAAAGAGAGTATATTGATCTTTTTTACAAGTAAATCACAAACAATTATTTTATTAACAGCTTATTTAGTTAATATTATGCAAAGTAATAATTTACTAAAAATATATATTTG